ATATATATATATATATATATATATATATATATATGCATGTATAGGTATATGTACAAACATATACTGTATATATTATAGATATATATTTATATACAAGCATCTACAAGTAAATAACAGATATATAATTAAATATATGCAAATTAGTATATATTATATATTTATATGCAAACATTTAAATATATATCTTAGGTATATACTTATCTGCGTTATATCAATTTACATATATGTAATTATATATATATATATATATATTCGTTTGTATATACATATATATATATGTAGAATATATTATTGTAGAAAGATATAAATATATTTTTGTTGATAATATAGATATGTTCTCTTTACATTTCCTGAATTGCGTTTGATTTATATATTTATTTAATATATTTAATATATATCTTTGTGTTTGCACTTTGTATTTCTTTTGTTTGTTTGATGTATTTCTCTTTTTCTTGCGTTTCTCCCTTTATATATTTTTCTTTGCTTTTATATTTAGTTTTTGCTGTCTTTGCTGAGGACGGGCCTCATAAGAAACATGCGTTGACGAATAAAAAAAGTGCTGTTGTTATCGGCACTGCCTGCTGCGGCTGCTGCTGCTGCAGCAGGCAGCAGCAACAGCAGCAGCAGCCGCAGCAGGAAGCACCAGAATATGTCTTCTTAACTGTTTGCAGCAGCAGCAGCAGCAGCAGAATATGTCTTCTTAACTGTCTCCTCTCTGCATCATTATAGCCCACAGGCAGACAAGCTTTTGCTGTTGCTGCCTATTTTGAAGTTGTTGCTACTGGACTGCAATATAGTAACTATTATATTAGTATTATATATATTATCTCCTACTCTCACTTCTAAGAGGGAGCAGTGATTCATTTAAAGCCTCGTAAGGCAGCCCGTATTATTTATCTTTGTTCTAAACTACGCTTAAATATAACTCTGTTGCGTTTACATGAAAAGCGTCTATAAATAATTCTTTTGTCTGTTGTTGCTGCGGCAGTTTCTTACAAATTTCTCAGTAAATGAACTCAGGAAGGTTAGTATAACGTGGGTATGTTCGAAGATCTTTGTGTAAAAGAGTAAAGACTATAAAAGACGAACAAATATACACAAGAAAAAGCGGAGACGCAGCAAATATATACAAACAAATACTATAAATGTTCAATTCAACTTTTTGGGGTGTATAGGGAGGTCAGCTGGCGGTGTTCGTGAAGACGGTAAAATTCGCGAAAAGTGCTGGAGATTGAGTTTATTTTATTTGCTTTTTAAAGAATAAAGGAATATTTAATCATGAACGATTTTCAAATGCTAATTTTATCAATTTTATCCGTATTTCCCTCTTTATTTGCTTGCAGATAATTCAAATAATGCTGTTGGCTGCGCGCATGCAGTGTACAGACGGCCTGCGGATGCAGCCGCTTCTCTGTTGTTTTTTGAGAGAAAAAGCAGAGAAATTAATAAATTAAAGGGTTAATTGCATGAATAAATTCATAAGGGGTATATTAAATCATTATTTTTCCTCTTTTTCCTTCAGACGAGGAGGCATCAACCCTCTCTTTTTCAAAGATCGCTGCAAGGCGCGCGGCTGCAGTAGAAGGAAGTGTTGATTTTTGTTGATTTTTGTCTTGTTTTTGTGTTGTTTTCTTTTTTTTTTTGAATTTATGTTGCAAGAGTCGGTATAATCTTACTGAGGGTGAGGGCTATTGCTCTCATATTCTTCCTCTGCGCCTCTAGACCTTGGAGAGTTGAAAGATAGATGAGAAGGGGTGTTTGATTGGATGTCGGGGGGTGTATATACAGCATAATTCTTGTAGATATTTTGTTGTATTTGTTGTGAGGTGTCTATACAGCTGAAGGATAGGATTGATTGAAGATGGCTGCCATTGGTATGCCCCCCCACATTCTTGCATTATTTCAAGCAAGGAAGCCGTTAGACCCTTTCCCTGCATTTAAATCTAAGCACCCTCGACCTTATGCAGGTTTAGCTGATTATGTACGAAAGTTTGAGGGGGGTCCACCCCCTCCTATCGTTCCATTTGAAACACCAAAGCAGAGGCAGCAACGGCGTAAGCGACAGAAGTTGTTATTGCATTTACAAGAACAGAAGAGGTTAGTAGAAGAATATAAACCTTTAGAAGATCCAAAGATAGAAGGAGATCCATTTGCAACATTATTTGTTGGTAAGTTGAGTTATGAAACAACAGAAAAGAAGTTAAAGCGTGAGTTTGAGGTGTATGGGCCTATAAGAAGAGTACGAGTAGTTCGAGATTCAGAAGGAAGACATAGAGGATATGCATTTATTGAATATGAAAGAGATAGAGATATGAAAGAAGCTTATAAGAAAGGAGATGGAACAAAGATAGACGGGAGAAGAGTACTTGTTGATGTTGAAAGAGCTAGAACAGTGCCTGGATGGTTGCCTCGTCGCTTAGGAGGAGGTAGAGGTCAGCCAAGAGGTGCAGGTAAGAATCAGCCGGATATAAGTTCTTTAGTAGCTCAGATCAGCGCTCCTCCTCCTTCTTCGGACAGTAAAGATAAAACAAGAGACAGAGATAGAGACAGAGAGAGGGACAGAGAGAGAGACAGAGACAGAGAAAGAGACAGAGACAGAGACAGAGAACGAAGACATAGAGATGAAAGAAGAAGAAGCAGAAGCAGAAGCAGAGATAAAAGAAGGTAAGACAAATCACCCCAACCCTCTTATTCCTCTCTATGCATTTTCTGTGGGTATGTCTATATGCGTATATATATACATATATATATATATATATACATATATATATGTATATATATATATATATATATTTATATTTATATGTATGGATGCGTGTATTAGTTATAGATGTCTCTCTCTCTCTGTCACTCACTCAATATATATATATATATATATATTTAGATTCAGATCTCTGTATGTATGTATGTATGTATGCACATGTATATGTTTATGCATATGTATAATGTATATGTATATATGCATGTATAAGTTTATGTATATGTGTATCATAATATATTTATATATATGGGGCTTAACATCCACATACACGTCAACAGCATGAAGAATTGCATGCATGCATTATGCATCATTGTTTTGTTTTGTTTGTCTTTGCTTGTCTTTGAATCCCTACTGGAGAATAGAATAGCTTACTTGTATTGTTATTTAATTATTTATCTATTTATTTGTTTTTAATAAAAGAAATATATATATATATATATATATATATATATATATATTTGTGCGATGTATTCGTTTGTTAGGGATGATAGAGACAGAGAACGGCGGAGATAAAAGAAGTTTTTATGTCTCTGATATTTTATTGCTTTTGTTTCTCTTGTCAAAAGCAATCTTTATAATTATATTATTGATGCTTGATAGAGACGCAGAGACGAGCTGCATATACACCCCAACTTAAATCTCTTGGCGCTGCTGCTGCTTTAATTTGAAGAAATTCAGGTGTATAGGCAGCTCTATTAATTGAGCTGTACGTACACCTGAATTGGGGATTAACATTGAATTCTTTAAACAGCAAAAAAGATTTATTATATTTTCTTTTGAATAATATAATAACAGCAGCGCCTTTATTATATTATTCAAAAGAATATATGATAAGTCTTATATCAAACAAAAACAAAAAAATTAATAATTTGGTGCAGCTGCATGCATTTCTTTCTGTTGTTTCTTCTGTAATGTTTATCGATCTCTTACCTTTTGAATAATAATAATATTAATAATAATAATAAAATATAATCTTGTTAGTCGGTATTATTTAAATTATAAATAAATAAATATAATATATGTATGTTTATTTATTTATATTTATAGAGATAAGTAATAATATATATTATCTATAATATAAATGACTCCTCATTCTTTAATAAACATACTCTTAATAAACCCTAGCCTCTCTACTTGCATGCAGAGTCTCTTTCGGCTTAAAGAACACAGGCACCACATGATGATGTGGCTGGCTAGCTAGCTAGCTAGCTGGCTAGATAGCCAGCTAGCTAGTCTTCCCTACAGATCGCTAGCTTGTTAGGCAGAGATCTACCTGACTATACAGGGAGATAGGTAGCTACCTAAGCAGCTAGCTACCTATGCGGCTAGCTAGCTGCTGAACACTAGAGCGTTACTTAGCTAGCTAGCCAACTAACTAAGTAACTAAGCTTGCTAGATAGCTAGCTAGCTAGCTGGGGGGTCGGTTAGCTAGCTAGCTAGCTAGCTAACAGAGTAGGAGTATTTGAGAGTGTGTATGTACAGTCAGTTTTGTTAATTGCATTAATGAAGTCGCGAGATTTAAAAGGGCGAAGGAAATAAAGAAAGAGATGCAGCAGCAGCAGCAGCAACAACAGCAGCAACAGCAACAGCAACAGCAGGGGGTTTTGCTGTTATTTTCTTTCTTCTTTTTGTATGTATAAAGAGAGAAGATTAATAGTGATTGCTGCTGCTGCAGCTGCTGCAGCAGCAGCTGCAGCTTGAGAATATCCCTTAGAAAACAAATATTAAATAATATAACTCTGATTAAATCTATAAACAAACAAACCCCCTAGACAGCCCCGTGCATGCATGCACGGGGCTGCGGCTATGAGCTGGAGGAGGAGAGGAGACGAAGAAGAAGTTTTGTTTTTATTTGTATTTTAATTAAATTATTTTGTTTAAATTAATTAATTTATTTGAAAAAAACAATCGCTGCTTCTTTTGCTGCTTCATACTTGAGGCTGAGGTGTACATACACCCCAGAAGGGTAGCCCTCTCTATCTCAAACCATTATCAACCCTAAACCCTAAACCCTAAACCCTAAACCCTAAACCCTCGCCTTAACGATGAGCTACCGCGGGGGTCGTATGCCGGAAAGAGACAGAGAAAGAGACAGAGAAAGAGACAGAGACAGAGACAGAGAAAGGGACAGAGACAGAGACAGAGATAGAGACAGAGATAGAGATAGAGATAGAGACAGAGACAGAGACAGAGACAGAGACCTTTGGAGTAGAGGCCGTCAGAGGGGGATGGGCAGCTCCAGACATAGGTGAGGCATCTGTCTCCTTCTTTGTTTTTTATCTTTTGTTTATCTTTTGTTTGTTTTTAATATTTTGTTTGTTTTTCATACTTTGTTTGATTTTTATCTTTTGTTTGTCTTTCATACTTTGTTTGTTTTTAATATTTTGTTTGTTTTTTTATTGCGCGTTTTTTTGTTTGTCTTTGTTTGTTTGTTGTCTCTGTTTGCTTTTGTTTGCTTGTTTACTTCCCTGACGATATTTATTTATTTATTTATTTATTTATTTATTTATTTATATATTTATATATTTGTATAATATTTAAAAAGAAGAAGAGGAAGATATATTATTGATTTTTATTGTTTGTTTGCTGCAGAGACAGCGCATACTATAGAGATGAGGGACACCGCAGCAGCAGCCGGTGGGGTTATAGCAGCAGCAGCAGCAGCAACAAGAACAGCAGCAGCAGATATCGTCGCTCTCGCAGCAGCTCAAGAGAGAGAAGAGAATGGCAGCGTCAATTGATGCTGCGTCGTCGTGAACGCAGCAGCAGCAGCGAGTCGGGTGCTGCTGGTGCTGCAGGTGCAGGTACAGTAACAGCAGCAGCAGCAGCAGCAGCAGCAGCAGGGGAGATAGATGAAGAAGAATTAATGCAGCAAGTAATGGGATTCGGCGACTTCGCATCTTCTAAAGGTAAAGACCACTCGCATGCAGATGCCTCAGGCGTTAGCAAACGCTCAAGAAGAAAATACAGACAATATATGAACAGAAAAGGAGGCTTCAATAGACCCCTCTCCCCTGTATTCTAAGCATATATATATATATATATATATATATATATATAGGGGTGCATATACACCTCATATAGCTCTCATTTATAATATATATATATATATATGTATATATATATATATCTGAGATGTATATGCACTCATACATATATATTATATATAATATACAGTATTATATATAATATATATATTGTTTACGAGGTGTATATACACCTCAGGTGTATGTACACCTGGGCTGCATTTGCGTATTACTTTGCTGCGGGGTATTGACGAAGTTTTTCTTTTTTTGCGATTTAATTGGAGATATTTTCTTGTTTAATTATTTTAATTTAATTAAATTATTTAATTTGCATTTATTTCTGCTCTTCTTGACTTTCTTTTCATTTTATTGCTGGTAGACGCCTCAGATGTATTGATTGTACACCTGAGGTGTATATACACCTCAGCTGCATATACACCTTAGGTGCATCTATATATATATATATATATATATATATATATATATATAGATGTATATTTGGGGTGTATACGCACCTCTGGTGTGTGCGTCTGTGGGTTTGTTTTAACTTCATTAGTTTTTTCTCTTCTTTTTTGTCTTCTTCGATTAATTTATTTTTTAAAGACTCCGCAGTCCATAGTGCATGATAAAAAGAAAAGAAGATAAAACGCTAGGGAGAGGAGAGCTCGTGCAGAGAGCCGTTTGATGAGGGTTTAGGGTTTAGGGTTTTAGCTCGATTCCTGTTTATATGCCTCTACTGGGAAGTTAACAGTTTGCTTAATAACATTAAATATATATCTTTTCTGCTTCAGACAGAAGACCCTTGATTAGCTAGCTATCTACACCACTAGCTAGCTAGCTAGCTAGCTGCAGGGCTAGCTATGTATATACACAACTAGCTAGCTAGCTAGCCAGCTAGGTAGCTGAGGACCTAAGGGTTTGTCTTTGTTTTCACTTCTTTCCTACCCAACACCACCAACTGCGTTCTGTCGCTATCTTGCTTATTCATTTATTTACTAAATAAATAAACAAAAAATAAAAATAATAATTAAACCCTCAGGCGTGTTCTCAGCTGGAGGGACACCGCGCCACTATCAACACGGGGCACGCACCGAGGTCCTCAGCTAGCTAGTCTTCAGCTAGCTAGCCGTTCAGCTAGCTGGCTAGCTAGTCTTCAGCTAGCTGGCTAGCTAGTCTTCAGCTAGCTGGCTAGCTAGTCTTCAGCTAGCTAGCTAGTCCTTCACCTAGCTAGCTAGTCCTTCACCTAGCTAGCTGGTCTTCAGCTAGCTAGCTAGCTAGCTAGCCCTTCAGCTAGCTAGCTAATCATATAGCGCGTACTACAGCTATCCGCTAGCTAGCTAGTCATCTCCATAGCTAGCAAGCAGCTAGCTAGCTGATGAGGGAATGATGCATCAGCTGGCGGGAGCATCTTGCGCTGCTGCTGCTGCTGCTGCTACTGCTGCTGCCGCTGCTGTTGCTGTTGCTGCAGCAGCGCAGCAGTAAGCTGCTACCGACAACGCATTTAGTATATAATAAACTATAAGAACAAACAACATTAACAATAATTAATACAAATAATATTAATTATTATTATTATTATTTTATTATATACTTCTTCTATTAACTTCGTTGTCTTGCTGCTGCGCTGCTGCTGTTTGTCTGTCATCTGTCTCCTTTTGTTTTTTTCTGTCTCCATATTTCTTCAAACTTTTTAATATTGTTGCAGTATTACATATTTATACACCTGAATATTATTATTATTCTTCTACTATTATTGTTATTATTATTAGTGCTGCGGAGTGCTGGCTGAGTGGCTATCTGCTGCTCCTGGTGCTACTGCTGCTGCTGCTGCTGCTGCTGCTGCTGCTGTTGCTGCTGCTGCTGTTGCTGCTGCTGCAGTGATTGCATTTTTTCTGGTTTTGTTTGCCTCGCTGTCTTCAGTACTTGTCTCTGTTGATCTTCTTTTAGTTTTTTTGTGCATTTGTCTGCGCTGCCCGCTGCTTTGCTGTTTCTGCATCTCGCTGGATATACCCCACATAGACAACACATATACACACATACATATAATATACATATATATAATATAATATATATATATATACATATATATAATATATAATATATATATATACATTATACATATATATATATATATATACATTATACATATATACATATATATATATATATATATGCATGTGCATGCACACATATCATACATCTATATGCATATATATATATATATATTATACATATATATGTACACAAATAGATATATAGAGATATAGACAGAGAGATTAAAGATATATATAGAGGTATCTAATCCATATATATTATATACCTATTAAAAATCTTTTTCTATGAAGTGCATATTAATAATATATATATATGTATATATATAATTTATATATATTATATATATTATATATATAAATATATCATATAAGGTTTTATATTGTATTTGACAGCTAATATATAACTATGATATACTCAATAAGAGAAAATATGCATAGAATAAATAGGGTGTATATACACATCATGTGTACATCGATATAGTATATATATATATATATATACATATATATAAATATATAAACATATATATTATTATGTTTACAGACACAGTAATTTATATGTAAAAATGCTCTCGTGTTGTCTTTTTTCTTGTTTTATTTTATTTTATTTTATTTTATTTTATTTTATTTTATTTTATTTTATTTTATTTTAAAATTTTATTCTTCTGCTTGGGGTCTCGCTTGCACAATATAAATATCATTCTTTGATATTACACCCTCCACGTCCTGTGCATACAAATAAAACAAATAAAACAAATAAAAAATAAATAAAACAAATAAAATAAACAAAATAAATTAAAACAAATAAAACAAATAAAACAAATAAAAAGAAAGCAAGCAAAATAGAAAAAATAAATAAAACAAATAAAATAATTAAAGCAAACAACGCAAGCAAACAAAATAAATACGTGTGCAGCAGCAGCAACAGCAGCAGCAGCAACAGCAGCAACAGCAACAGCAGCATCAACCCTGTCTATCTATTCTTTGTTTGCTTTACTGCTCTTCTATGTGTATGCCTACACTGCATAATATTTGTGCATGTTGTTAATACGAGTTTATTTTTGTTTGATTTATCTTTTTGTATATTTCAGGTGTATGTACACCCCACTGCTCACCTGAGGGCCGTCTAGAAAGACAGAAACAGCAGCAATTTGTTTAGCTATCTTTTCTCGCAAAGAATGAGAAGAAGCAAAAGAATCTGCTGTCTGATCATACACCTTAAATCTTAACAACTTCTCTGGCTCCACAGTCGAAGAACCTGCACTTCCGTTGTCTCGCACTGTACATACACCCAAAACCCTAAACCCTAAACCCTAAACCCTAAACCCTAAACCCTAAACTTCGAGAGCAATTACAACTATGCATACACCTAAAATGATGTACCTACACACAAATATGGAATGCATGCATCATAAAGGCTGTACATACACCCCAACGGCGGTGTACATACACCTCAGCGCTGTATATTATATATATATATATATATATATATATATATTATGTGCATACGCATCCACATATGTGTACACGCAACCCTAAACCCTAAACCCTAGACGTACGCGTAAGGAAGCTTTTGCTGCGAGGGATGACTGGTAGGATGATATTTGAATAACTGCATGCAGACAGCAGCTTGTAAGCCCCTAAAAAGTAGAAACAAAGAAAAAGCAAAAAGACACACAAAACAATTTGCTTGTGCTTCTTCTTCTTGGTTTTGTTTATTCATTTGCTTTTTTTTTGTTGTCTGTCTTTGTTTATTTTAATTGTGTTTTATTTTTGTCTTTGTTTGATTTTATTTATTTTATTTCTGCTACGTTTTCTTCTTATTTGCTGTTTATTTTCATGTTTGCTTTTTGCTCTTGTCCTCCTTGTTTATTATTTTTGTTTGATAACCTAAAACCCTAAACCCTTAAACCCTAAAACCCTAAACCCTAAACCCTAAACCCTAAACCCTACGCTTGGTTGATTACCTGTTTCTTTATCAATAAGCATTCTGTAAGCAGACCCCCTCATAGTTGAGCTTGCAAGGGCTTCTCCTAGCCCGGGTACAAGCTCAGCATACACCTCAGGCGTTTGATTATTATGATTAAGATTATGATTATTATTATTATTTGGGGTGTATGCATCTGTATCTTTATCTTTGCATGCATATAAAAACCTCTGATGCTTTAAACCTCCTGTATGTAAAATAAAACTTATATCGGGTACAACTAACTCTTGAAATAGTATTGCCATGCATGCGGAGCTCTGCAGGATGAAACAAAACAAAAAAAATAAAGAACAACATTTAAAATATAAAAATATTAACAAACATTTTATCTTTATACACTGTCTTTATAGAAGAAACAGCTCGAGAAAAAAAAAACAAAGAAACCCTTAGAAAGATATTTATATATAATTGTACTATATCTATGAACAACAAAACTAAAACAAAGTCATCTAATTAATATAATTGATATAATTAACACAATTAAAATAATTAGTTTAATTGATCTAATTAAAATAATTAATCTAATTAATATAAGTAATATAATTAATAATAATTAATACAATGAATATAATTACTATAATTAATATAATTAATTAACTAATGTAATTAACCTACTTATTAATTAGATCAATATAATTAATCTAATTAATTTAATTAAAAAGATTTACCTGACGAATTCCAGCTGCTTTTCTAGAGGAGACAGCTCGAGAAGAAAACAACGAAGCCCATACAGTGCATGCAGCAGCTTTTATTGCATTGCTGTCTCCTGCTGCTACATTAACAACTGATTCATATAAACCAGCAGCGGATAAACCTGTAGCAAATAAAATAAATATAATAAACAAACAAAAATAATTAAAAAGAATTACAAATTATATAAATATAATAAAATAAACAAAAAAAAGAGTTAAAAGGATTAAACATATAAATTATAATCAACAGACAAATAAGCATTAACTAATTAACTAATGAGTTGCAAACATAATAAATAAATAAATAAATGATAAATAAATAAATAAATAAGCACATAACTTAATAAATAAGCAAGCAAACAAGCAAACAAACAAACAAACAAACAAACAAACAAACAAACAAACAAATAAATAAACAAACAAACAAACAAACAAATAAATAAATAAATAAATAAATAAACAAAAAAACAAACAAATAAATAAATAAACAGAACAAAATAAACAAATATAAACAAACAAACAAACAAACAAGCAAATAAATAAATAAACAAATAAATAAATAAACATAATACCTTTAAGGTCTTCAACATTAGCAGAAGATCGGAGACAAATTCTGCTTCTATTTCCGAAGACTATTGATGTCTCCTCTTCAACACCTGGAGGAAGAGAAAGACTCATTATTAGCTGCTGCATGCATGCGCAGACTCTCTTCATCTCTTCTCCCTGACCACAAAACAATAATAAATATATTTATTTATTTATTTATTTATTTATTTATTTATTTTTATTACAATGTTCACCGTCAAGATAATGCTTATCCGCGACCTCTTGTTGCTGCTGCTGCTGCTCCTCCTCCTGCTGTTTATCATGGTGATAAGGCTGCTGCTGTTGCTGCTGCTGCTGTTGCTACTGCTGCTGCTGCTGAGCTCGATAGCATGCAATCAACACGGTATTGATACATACAGAAGAGGCAGCAAAAACAGCAGCAGAAACAACAACAGCAGCAACAGCAACAGAAAAAGAGGAAGCAGCAATACACACAACAGCCGTAGCAGCAGCAGGTGCAGCAGGAAAAGCAGCAGAAACAGCACCAGGAGCAGCAGCAGCAGCAGAAGCAGCAAGAGCAGCAGCAGGAGAAGCAGCAGGAGAAGCAGCAAGAGCAGCAGCAGCAGCAAGAGGAGCAGCAAGAGCAGCAGCATGAGTGTGTAACTGACTTCATGTTGAAGCTGTTCGAGTTGCTGCAGCAAACTTTTATATTCTTCTTCGCGGCCTTCTTCGTGAAGCGCCCACTCCATCGACCCAAAGGGAAGACACATACACCTGCGCAGTGTATACACAACCCTACAACTACTCACAACTTCTTTCTAGCTAGCTAGCCCTATATATATATATATTTATATATATATTTATATTTATATAAAAGATACATATATATACATATATATATACACATATATATATATATACGTGCATATATATATATATATAATACACTGTAGTATAACATAATATATTATGATATTCGTTTATTTTATGTTGACAAATAAATATATATTGTATTTTAGTATGTTACATTTATAGTATAGTATCTTCATAACATACATATTAACTAACATCTATATATATATAAC